ACCGTGTGTGTCGTGAAATACCAAGCTAATAAGCCAGCATCTGGAAGATTAAGATTCATTGTGTCATATCATACCTAATACTCGTAGCTGTCCACGTCCAAGTTTCTTCAATACTTTTCTCCAATGCATCATGAGCCCTATTTCCTCCCCTGCCCTGGACGCCATGCCCCCCTCCTCCCCCTCCCCCACCCCCTTTTCCACCATCCCAGCCATTACCCGAGAACACAGACCTGACGAGAAGCTGGCCACTAAGACGCTGGAGGACCCGCCATTTCTCTCCTCCCTGGTGACCATAAGGTGGCCAGACGAGAATGACCTCTGAAAACTGCGAGTCACGTCATTGAATTGTGTACTCACGCCATCCTGGTTCGCTGCGATGAGCATGGCTGTATAGAAGGGGCCGGGGTCAGATTTGGGGAGATGGGGCGAGGGGGGGGGGGTACAAGTCAGTGGGGTGAAATATGAAACATTGATTCACTTATGGGCCAGCATAGAAAGACAAATGTCTATCAGAAATTGGTGGTTGTGCGGGTTTAACTAACTCCTCACTGCCTGGCCTGAAAATATCTCGAGCTCTTTGGTTGATGCAGTTTTGTTGTTTTTGGTGTTGTTGTTTGGTTGTTGTTGTTTGTTTGTTTCTTTCGTTGTTGTTCACTGTTTGAGATCGAGTTTACTTTTCGTTTACTTCTTGAAATGAAATTGGCGACGTACCAAAAGTTACTTTATTCATAATTATCGTGTATATGTGTACGAATATAATATGAATATATATATCATTGTATGCATACAAAAAAGCACCAAAAGACACATAATGTGGGTTTTAAGGGGTGGTGGGGGCACCTGAAGATTGTGTTTCTGAGTGAAATCATGAAAATTGGGGTTATCGCTTACTATATTTCCTGGATATTTCCTGAACAAAGTCCAAACACGTATGTAAGAGTTTCTGTACCCTAAAGTGGTGTTTGGAGGGATTTTAGAGCAGAGGGTTGGGACTTTTTAAAAGAATTTTTTTTATAATTGACACTTTTTGTCTCAAAAAGCATGTTTTGCACCGCTTATTAGCTTAGTTTTAGTAGGAAACCTCCGTTCTATCTATGATGTGTTAATATTATCAAGTATTTGCCATGTTTTAGTTTGAAATATATTTTGAAAGTTTGTCTTTAAAGAGAACTATTTTGGCCTTTTCTTACCTTTATCGGCCGTTTTCTCAAAACGCTATTTTCACACACTTCATCCCATTTTCTGCTTTGTTTCTTATTCGATTTTAATGTAACATTTACAGAATGTTAATGACACCTTTTTCTAAAACTTGTCGGAGGAATTTTTGATTACATACGTAGCTTTTGAAAAATGGCCTCCGAAAGCTTGATTTTTTCGGGGGGCGGGGGATTCACAGTTATTCAATAAGCCGATTTTTAAGTGTCATAAAATGAAAACTAAAGCATAGATTAAAAATTCCAAATCCTCCAAGATAATTTTTAGATCTCTTCTTTTTCTACGTAAATGTCAAGTTTAAAATGTATTTGTTTTTAAACAAGTGAATAAAACGCGGTCAAAATAGGTATACAAATCCAATATGGCCGTCGTTTCCATGGCAACCGAACCATATTTACTTTTTTAACAATAGATTTTAAATCCCCAAAGATACATGATGTGCCATAGCAAATATGGGCTCTGTAGGGTTTGTAATAGTCGAGATAGCCTTTAGGTGCCCCACCACCCTTTAAAAGGATTAAACGGTTTTTTTAAACCTCTCTACAGAAAATTCTCGCTGACTGAGCTTAGAATATAAATTTGAACAACCTGCCGTCTTTATCATCACAGCGTTGTGTGGCTGCTGCTGTGTATATATTCGTGACACCTCTTTGGCCAGAGATAAAACTCACTTTGACTGATAAAAGCGTAAAATTGGGTGTTTAGCTGGTGCTCTGGTGTAATTTACGACTTGACTCCTTTCAAACATCGTCGTCATCTCTCCTCTTTCTTTTCTTTGTATGTTTCTCTGTAATAACACCTCTAATTTTTGGCATATATTATTATAATATGACCTATTTCGGTAGAGTCGGTAACCTTGAGGTTCGCCTACTGGACTCGTAATCGTGATATTGCGGCTTCGAAGCTTCGAGCATCAGCTTGATCCGACGTTGTGCCTTTGGTTAAGGCATTTTTCACCAATTTTAATTTGGCTCGGCCGGACGTTATGTCCTTAGGAAAGGCCCTTTACGACTTTACGCAAATTTGGTTAGGGCCTTACAGAGTTTGACTGTAACCTGGGAAGAAAGGCCTCTTAATTATTATCATAATAGTCAAACCTATATATACCATTCCACATTTCACCTATATGTTGCAAGTGCTTAAACTGTTACTTTGAAAAGGCGTGCAACATTTACAAATGGCGTCGGCATGGTCTTGTGGTTAGACTACCGGACTCGAAGTCGTGAGGTTTTGGGTACGGGGGTTCGAGCTTCAGGCCCGACGTTGTGTCTTTAGGAAAGGCATTTTACACGCGTTTTCCACAATTCACCTTGGTGAGAATGAGTATCCTGCCATGGACAGCGAAATATCTTGTCCGTATGTTAGTGTTTTAGCGCCTATAAAAATGGCAGCTAGCACTGTGTGCTTCCCAGGAAAATGAGATTGTTTCAGAATGCTCTCAAGCCTGCTGAGATAATGATACAGATTGTGAAGCGCATAGAACATGATGTTGAGCAGGAACTTGCGCTATACAAATGCTTTCTTTTATTTTTATTGTTTTAATGTTTTTATTGCTTTTATTATTGTTGTTGTTATTA